TACCAAGGAGAAAAACCACACCCCCACCAACACTGGCAGGGCAAGCTACTGTATATAAATAGGGAGCAAACCCCACACTTACTAGCAGTGATGATGTTACCTAATTGGGTAATGAAACATCTGCAAGCAAACAACCAAGCTCAGAGAGCACCAAGGACTCCACAGTTCAAACCAGAGCTACATATATTCTCTTTTGTTGAAAATATTTGCTTGCCAAAATTCTGTGCATTAGAAAAGACCATAATTGGCTTGGTAGTCCAAAGATGAAGTTGTGGAGTTTAGTTGGGAACAATAGTTCAGCGCTAGAACAGTTGATTTGGAGGTTTCATGAAGTAGTTCAGGGATTGAACTGACACTAGGGAGACCCAGGTTCAAGTCCACCCTTAGCCATGAGAGCTCAGTGGGTGACTTTGGGCCAATTACTCTCTCTCATCCCAACCTACCTAACAGAGTTGATGTGGGAACAATGGGAGAGAGGAGGAAATGCTGTCTATGCCACTTTTGGTTACCGAAGGAAAGGCAGGATATAGGTGTATATATACACAAAAATAAATAAATTTCCACCTAACTCTTAGGAGGCAAAGATTTATCTCATGCCTTGAAAGAGTACTTTCAGAATAGACAATATTGAGCAAGATGGTTATAGGGTTGGAAGAGATCATTTAAGCTAGTAAATTCATCCCCAGCACAGTGGTTAATTGCATTTCCTATCTGACAGGAAGATCCTTACAGCAGAGATGATAGCTATCTGCTCCATCAGTAAGTCACAGAGTGAAGAAGTCTGCAAAGGCCATATTTGACATAATCCGAAGATTAATACCTACTAGTTAATGCATCTTTCTGGAATTATGTAAATATCTTCTGTGTGATTAGGATGTATATTCTATGTTGTCATAAGATTTATTGGGTCAGCAGTAGGGGTATAAATCTGAATTTTAAAAAATAGATTTAAAAAAAAATTAGCATGCCCCTAAAAACAAAAAGTTTAGAAGTGTTAAAAATGCTAGCTACCCAGGTTGTTATGAGGATGGGGAAAAAAATGATGATATACTTGGTTTGGCAAGGGCTCTGCCATAGTCCATGGTAAAAGATCTGTTAAGAAAAGTGAGGGAAAAATTGCTAAATACTTTGGAAAATTGTTTTCAGTTTAAATCGATAACTCAGTTGCTTGGCTCTATATTGTAGTAGCTTCATATGATTCTGCATGAATATTATACTAATGCCTATCTCTTCTTCCCCAGTTACCCTTTTCTGTAATTGGCTCCCTGAATGGGGTTCATATGTTTGGCTCCAATTTAGATGTCCAGCTGATAGCAGCCCGTACAGAGAAAACTCACGTGGTGTGGAAAGTGTTTCACAACAGGTATGCAGAATCAGGCATATGCATGCCCCCAACCTGCCATGTTGTTAGCAGGTGGTCAGTGTCTTCAGTGGGTATTTAATGAATATAATCTGTTTTGTTACAAGAATTAAGGATCTTTAAGATTTTATAACTTTAGTCCTTAGCATCAGTAATTTTAGAATACTGAGAACTTCAATGCTTCAATGATTGAGTATACTGATATATGGAACCTTTTGCTAGTAGTCAGAATGCTAGGTATCTTTATCCAGTGCAAATCAACTGTTTTTAATAGTCCCTGGTCCTTCTGCTTTTGATTTCCTGAGTTTCCCTGAATATGAAGTGTTCTAGCCCTCTCTGTGCCAATTCAGATTCTTGAAGGAGAAAATTGTGTGATATGCTTCTATGGATCTGTGTTATAGTTTTTGCTGATTTCCCGTTGGCTGTTGAGAAACATGGAATTATGTGGAATACTAACATGTGATCCTAATGGTACTTAGTATTCATTTTCTGGAAAACAACTTGGCTATTTACATAACCATTTACTTCTGTCTGTCTTGAATAGACTGTAAACAAAACAAAACATAGATGTACAGATACCCACAACTGAGTTTTGTCTTCTTTATTTGGAAATCCCACTTACTCCTGATATAAGATTGGGCCTTTCCTTATACAAGCAGGCATTCTAATAAATATTGATATTATTGTAACTTTTACTGCATGGTAAGACAATGTAAAGAAAGGGGTTTCATTCCTCAGGGTTGCTTAGGTTCAGGGAGGTTCACTTTGCTATTTCTTTCACCAGAGTGCAATTATTTCAATCCAGGAAGAAGAGTTAGAAAATCATTTTAAGTTTAAGAAACTTGTGCTTTATCCATGCCTCTCAAGATATGTGATCAATTCTGTGTGATCTTGTTAGGTCTTCCTTTTATGTCTTCTGACATCTGTTCTAAACTGAAATGGCTAAAATGAAAAAAGAGTTGAAAACAAGAGAAAAGTAATAAGGCTCCCTTTTTACTTTTCTCTTGTTTTCAGCTCTTTTTCATTTTGTCCATTTTGTTCATTTTGTCTACTCCTCTTAATCTTCAACAGGTATTTTATATGTACAAAAATTCTTCTGGCTATTTCAGCTTAACATAGCAAATTATTAGGCCACACCAGCATTTCTTATTCATCTTTTCAGCTAAATAAATACAGGTAAATAAATTCTAAGTTCCTAGACTTCCAGTGCTTTTAGATACACAATATAAAAGGGGGGAAAGGTTGGGAGGTAGGAAGGAAAAAACAGGTACAAGTTCTATTTTACAGAGTTGTTATAAAAACAGTTCAGGGAGTGGAGGGAAAGATAGATAATTTCTAACAGAATTGTCTTCTTTCCTGCTGTAGTATTCACAAAGAGCAGATTCTACTGACTGTGGTCATTCCTATTGAGTTGAGGGTATTCCTAGAAATCACCAATTTCCTGTAGCTATTTTATCTGTTGTTAGTGATTTTCTCATTAAGATGTTCCAGTAAGCTTTGGAGATACATTGGATTTCCTCTATATAATTTGAAAACCTGAAAAACATGAGCAAGATACTTTTCTATCTGTTGCAAATGTTTTGCACTCACTCACTCTCTTTCTTTCTTCAATTTCTCTTTTGTTTGTTGTTCCCAGCATCACCCTCATTGTCCTATCCTCAGAAAAAGATGCCAGTGACTTCAGTCTTGGAAGGCTTCTTGAGAATGTTTTCAGTGCCATGGTGAGTGATCAGAAGTGACCACTATGAATGAAACTGGAAGTCAAGCCTAGCCCATTAGGCAGATAAATAATTCCAAGGAAAGCAGTTGAGTGGAGTTATTTTACATGTGTGTATATGTGTGCACACACATGCTTAAAAATCCTATGAGGTTACTTGTATAAGCTAGATTCTTTTCATCATGGGGAATTAAATGGTGACGTATTGGAAGTTTTTTTTTTCAGTGATATAGAGGAACAGTAGACCTATTTTTTACAGGAAAAGTCTGTAGGATTAAGATAAGTATGAAAAGTCTTTTTTCCTGTGCTCTGTTGTCCCCTCTAAACTCACCCTATTTCCCAAGGACTCATTTCTTAGGTGCTTTTCTGTCTCTCCTGTTCAAATTTTGATGCCAACTGTATTACAACGTAGTCACAGGTGAAGAACACATGGGTTACAGACGACCCATAGTTAAGAACAAAGCCTATTGTAGCAAAATTTGAGTTAAATAAACAATGGTTCG